AATTTATCTCATTACCGTCATTTGCATTGAACTCTTAAAGTATCATCATTTCTTCGAAATATCGAAATTAATTTTCAAGATACCGAACTAAAAGCTTTCTAAATTAAAAATTAAAACGATGAATTCCTCGAAAACAAAACACAAAAGTTTGATATAATTCTACTCAACTCTTAATTACAATTTACAACTCTTACACAATTCTTAATTAATCCTTTCGGAAGTTTTTCTACGATAAATGTTCAAACTTTCGTGAGCCAGCGTACAACGCGTCTGACTCGTGATGTACTCGTACTACTGACGAAGGAAGGTTGTTAGACGTTCGTTGAACGTGAAAATCGTTATTAAAAGCTGCGATATATATATCTTATCGTAAGCTGGTTCCCTTCAGAAAAGAGAATCGACGGGGAAACGATCGAATTTCCCATTAAATCCAATTACTATCGCCATCAAAAAGCGACTTCCTTGATCGAAGGATTGAGCGCGAGTGCGCGTCCTACATCCTTCTTTCTTAATTTTCTGAAAATCGCGTGTAATTCCTCCGGTGGCCCCGGTCCTACCACTGTCGTTCAGCTCTTATCCCGAGCTGATATAATGCGGCGGAGCATTCAAATATCGAGAAATAAATGGAAGCAGAGCGCCGCGATGATCAGGCCGCGATGCAGATGAGAAGGGACGCGAATGGCGGAGACACGTCGCTGGAGAAAAAGCGGCAAATAGTCCCTGTCGAAACCACGTGACAGCGCCGCATATCATTGACTTCGGTCCTTTCAATTTCTCATTTTCTCCGGATCGCGAGAGAGAAATCGGTGGCTGCGAATAACATGCGCTCGTGTGAGAACCGGATCTGTTTCAGAGATTGTTACAACAGATTGTTGCAATGGTGTAACGTACGTGGATATTGGCATACGTAGGGAAAATATAGGTCAATAATGTAAGTTATTTTCGATGGTTATGATATTTAAAATTGGTGAATGTTGCTTATGTGAGTGAGAGAGAATTTTGTGTTTTTTGGATGATGCTTTCTCAGAGTCTTGGATGATAGTTGTTTTTTGGTATTTATAATATTTAAAGTTGTTTATATGAATAGAAAAAAGAGGACTTTGTTTTGTTTCTAGGATGATAGTTTCTTGGATTCTTGGATGATAGTTGATTGAATAATGGTAAAAATGATGATTGAAAGATAGGATGGAATTATGCGAAGAATATTGAAAGATTGAATTTTGTTTTTAGATATTTTTTTAATTTTCTTCTACAATGATTAGAATCTTTTAATAATAATATTGTAATTATACATATTATAGTAAATGTACCAAGTTAATTTTACTTTGAAGCATATACACGTTGTTATAAAAACAAATATAAGACAAATTAGGTAGGTGGTACTTCATTTGTACTATTGGGCATTGAGACCACATATAACATAACGTAGGATTGAATTATTTAATTTATATATTTTTAATTCTACTTAATTTCATTATTAATCTCTGTGTCGCAAAAAATGTAAAATATAATGTGTAATTTAACAGAAATTACTTTAATATATGAATTCAATGATATTGTTCGAAAATTAATGTTAGAATTAGAATTGAAAAACAAAACGTTTAGAATTTTGTCTTTGAGAAATACAATAGCAATCTTACGCTCAGCTTACGTATACTAATCTATCAATTGTGAATATATAATTCTTACAACATCACAATTATGAAAGAGTATGTATTCGAGTTTTTCATTCAATTCGATCAATTACAAGGGAAATCTTGGTATTCATAAGCGAGACATTGTGTGATTTATCTACAAGATTGCTCGTCGTTATCTCGATACAAATAGTCGGCAAGTTTGATTTAATTAATAACGATGACGTGGTATGTAATATCCATCGTGGTGGCAGAGCGTGTTGTGGCTATTCAATTGATTCAAATTAATTCCGTTAATGGCTGCTGCTAGTGTTGCGAATCCTATTGATTTCCATTGGACTCGTTCTTTTCAAAAGAACGTTCTACCTATTATTTTTATTCGATATCGTCTGTTATTCGAAATTCTATCTCCGATTAATCGAGAAGATTATTTCCTCTCTTTTCACAAATTCGCGTTTAAAACAGAAAGTTTCAGAATTCACATTTGAAATAGAAAATCAATATCTGTTGTGCAGCTCGATAATTTGTAAATTTATAAATTTAAATATTTACTCGTTCTTCTGCTACGTGTACAATAATAAATCGCAGGTTTCGCAGTTTTCTTAATTTAGTGAATTATATAAAACGAAAGCTTTTTCGTGTATAATATATTTTTCTCGTATACATGCGTAATGTTTTTTTCTGAACAGAGCAGAAAATTATGATATTCCTCTAATTTGAGGAAATATTTTTCTAATATCATAATACTTCTAATATACACGAGTTGTCTTATTCGATACAATGTTTAACTTATCTTTCTTTTTCCATGAAGCATTCTCTTTGTCATTTTCCACGATTCATTCTAGTATGAAATTTAACATGTTATGATAAATACATTTTCCCCAATCACACACAAACACATACTGTAAATATCTCTCTCAATTTATCTATATAATATTCCAAAAAAAAAAAAAAAAAAAAGAATCCTTCGAAATACCTTCGAAATTCAATAATTACGGCTCGATGGCTAGCCTTGAATTCTTAGAAATTCGCGGCGTGGACGCGATCGATCGCGACTTTATTAGTTTTCGATGGTGTGCCACGGGGGAAGCGAACAAGAAGGAACGGAAGGGCGAAAGAGAAACGGACAGGGCCGTAATAATATCGCGCTCGATCGTGCATCGTGGAAATGCAGCCTAAGGAATTCCGCGGTCTGTCGAACTGCGAAATGAGCCGAGACACTTCATTCCCCTTTCTACCGATCCCGCCGTTCGGAGAAGAAACGAAAAAACTTAAGGAGGCCGAGGCCCCGCCGCCGGTGTGTTTTATCAATAAAAATATTCGCATTTCTCTTTGCCCGCGAAATTGATACTGCACGCTGCTACTCTCGCTCTATTTCGCCGCAATATTCCTTTTTTCCGTTCGATTCGGTCAGCTTTGATCGGCTTTTCGTTATTTCCCATTCAAAGCCTCCCTCGACGCATTACAACCGTTCACAAATATCGCAAATCGGTTTATTTTTTTTTTATTTTTTTACTTTTTTTTTCCTCTGCCTGTAGGTCGCGAACTTGTAAGCTTTAGCTTTCTGCAGATTTGGCTTATAAAGTTACGAAATTGAAATTGTGCTAGTTATATTCTGTCAATGTATCTCTCTTTGCGAAGATTTCAATTTAATTACGAATTGTGCTAATATCAGTGTTTTTGATATTTAATATTTGAATGTTGATTAATTGAATATATTGTCTGTCGTTTTTCAGAATATTGTTCAGCGTTTGACATTTTTTTAATGGAGCATTTCACGTTTTTTCTCATTTTCTCAATTTTCATTTTACCTTTAAAATTTCTTGGTTCTATCGTTCAAAGAAATTTCTGTTAATTACAAAAATTCGTTATTATTTTATTATTCCTTTCTCCTTCTATAATTGTCGATTCTCGTCAGGCGTAGAAATTATTAAACGATTGAAAATGATCAACGTCTTCGATGTTGGTCACGAGTGACGAACGTTTCAATGAAATGTCTGAGAATGTGATTTCAAAGAAATATGAAATAAATATGCCCCGCGAAACGCATCCATAACAAAGTGCATTGTTACGTGCTTCGTTTCTCAACGACTTATAGAATGTGAACAGAAATCGGTTTTCATTCAGACAGGGATTGTTATTGAGAATCTATTATTGAACGACGAGTTATCCCATCCCAGATCCCATTTCGTTGAAACGATATTCGCGCTGTAATATTTTCGTGTACGCTGAAGTTCTGTATAATAAATGTAATTTATTCATTCCGTATAATTAAAATTAACCTCTATGATATTAAAAATAGTTGAGAATGAGTAAAATTTTAGAAAATAAATTATTTTTTTTTTTATCAGAATGATTCTTACATTACTAGCTTCAGATACTAAAAGTATGTACTTTCAATTCTATGGTTTAATTATAATTACATCTAAGAGGTGAATTGTATAGTACGAATGTTATATTTGACGGTTTATTAATATCTCTCGCATACATTATTAAATAACGTAAACTCTGATAAAATTCTGCACGAAATTTAAATAATTAAACAATTCCCAAGTATTTTCCACTCTTTTAAACGTGACCTAATTTTCGAGACGACTGTGATATTTTATACTTTACACATGTGAAATGCAGAAACTATTTAATAATCTTAAATTCTGATATATAATAACAAAGTACGCGAAATACTTAGAAATAATTCCCAAGCATTTTCAATGTTAATCACTAGATTGTGAATTTCAGTGAAAATTTAACAATTTAGTTATGAATTTAGTTATAAAATTTAACAGTTTAGTTATATTCTTAACAATATAACTAAACGTAACTTCGCAGTTTAAAATTTCCTACAAATGCACAAAAATCCACAGCTTACTACACACGATTCTGATTTTTTTTGAAAAGAAGTCGCTCTTCGACACAAATGTAACACCTCATCCTTTTTCAAATCTCTCCAAAAAAAAAAAATAAAAAAAGGAGCCGCCGTGAAGTCACTGGCTACAATTAAAACTATCGAATCCTGAAACTCCCCGTATACTTGACCAAAACTATCCGAGGTTAATTAAAATAGCTTTCCCGTTTCGGCAGAGCGATGGACTCAGCCGAGCTCGACCAACTTCTAATTCAATCTGGCCTTTAATCAATCTTAATTCCACCGGGGCTCGAATCGAATCGAGACGCGACAAGGGTCGATAGCGAGCCGGGTCAGAAAATTTCCATTCCGCGTCTTTTTCTTGCCGCGCGGAGTGCACGCGATAACGAGTTGGTGGCCACGGGACCGCGACTTTTCTCCTCGAAGTCGAGCCACAATTTCGAATCTCTCGACCCAGTTACAAAGAACTACGTCAAGAATCTATCTTCGTTTGATTTCAGCCCACGTTGCGTCCACACGTGTGTCCTCCCCTCCAGGAACCGGAAGCATCAAGTCGACGAAAGTTTATGGAGCCCGGCTGTATAAACGACAACCGATCCAGTCCGGTTCACCAGGTGTCGATCGACTTCGTTCTCTTCAGGACTGCCAGCTCTCTTCTCGGTGAGTGCGTGATTCGATTTCTTATTGCGATATAACGAACAGAGGGAGGGAATTAGAAAAATGCGGAAGAGGAAAATTAATTTGCAACATTGAGTTGGAAATCAGTCGAGTTTGAGAAAGTTAATTTCCAAATTAGTAACTTGTGCCAGCGATTTGTGTGTCATTAGATTATTGGGAGTTATGAAAATTTGGGATTCGGTTTATTTGATAATATTGCAGGAATACGTATGTCCTTTGCTTTTTACAATATTTATATTTCGTTATAATTTTCGTTATTATTATTTATTATTTATTATTTCGCAATTTGTAATTGATAAATCTAAATATTATCTCCTGTTACATTTCCAAATGCAAATTAATTCCATCAGAAGTTTGGAGATGTATTAACGTGACACGCGATATATTTATATCAAATATCATATTTATTTCTAATAATTGAAGTACGATCGGGTAATAACATTGTTAATTAAATATCTGTACACTTTCTCTATTTTCTTTCTGAATATTCTTAACAATTCTTTATTCCAATAATATAGGACATGGAATATATTTTATTCTAATATTTAAAATTAGCATTTAATCTTTTCAATTTCTTTTTAATTAAAAGTTGTTCGAAACCATAAAAAATAGATTATCGCAGTACCATATCGTCGAATGTTTCTTTCTCTTTCTGATCAAAAAAAAGCAGCAATTTTAAAATTCGTTCGAGGGAAAAACAATACTCACAAATGAAGACAGTTTTACTTGAGAGATCGCGACCTAACTGCAGCATGAGTGAAACGATCCAATGTCACGTCATCTGTTAGCGAAAGCTCATTTGTTATTGTCTTGTTTAAGAGGCGAAATAATTTCCTCCCAAAGTTCAATGCTTGTCCAACGCATCTTGCTACTTCTACTTGTAAACGTCTTCGTCGTGTAATATGAAAATGCATGAAATATCCACGGTCTGGTCATCACGCAACACATTCGTCGCGGATTGAATTTCAAAACGAAAGAACCGACGCAACACGGTCACCTCGATGCAAACTTTTTCGAATCGCGTGTTCGTAAAGGTCGCGTAACAATCCTTTATCGTCGAGTCCTTCCTTTGTCTTGACGAATACAAGAATTTCTCTGCCGACGCGAATAAAAGAGAGAAAATTACGTACAACGTCATTCAAAATTTGTCTTTTTTCTGAAACCTGTCGTGTTTCGTCACTGTGTCGACGAAAGTAAGACTAAAATATCGTGTGACGTAAACTTCAAAAATACTTTATCAAACGTGGCACTGTATCATTAGTTCGATATTTGTGCAAGTACTGTTTCTCTTACAGTCGATACAGAGTAAGACCGGTTTGTGACAAGCATGCAAACTATTTTGTATTTATCATTGGTGAGATATTTCGTAACGAGTTATTGATAAAATACGATAAAATAGACGAGATTTATCGTTCACGTTACAAGACTGGAGAAAACGTTCGCGTAGTTTCAAGCGGTGACACAAGTCCAAGCGAAGAAGCTTTATCCCCGAGCGATTCGAGTGTCAGATTATCATTCCGCGATACTTGTCAAATCGAAAAATATGAGCATCCGTCCCTGGCAAATCCTCTTCGGGAAGCCTCCTTGGATCTTATACGTTGTCGCAACTTGTTGTTAGCTATTGTCTTTTTGCGTCATTTATGCACACGACGTAAATCCGTAGTCTCGGTTGGAAATCCCGAGTTCCCAGCATCCATGGACTCGGATCGAGTCGTCGAGATCTCAAGGCATCGCGCGGGTCGAGGGAATGTAAAATTTATCCGTGCTCCCTCCCTTCCAGCGGGAAGTTCACTCGCGTATACTGAAATAATCTGATCCATTTAAGTTTCGGGAACCGATCGTGACAACTGGGTGACGTGAGATCTTCGGTCGCTCGCCGATCCGAGTCAGAACGATCGCTGCGACCGTGTCAGGCGACGTTTGAATCGCACGGAATACTCGAATCAATCACGTCGATTACGTCGCGGAGACGTCACCTGGCCGAGAGTACGAGTCTTATTAACCTCTTGCGCTGGAATGACCTGCCACGTACGTCGAGAATTTTTTGTTCCAACATTATAATATTTTCTCAGTTTTAAGTATATATTTAAGTAAAACGAAATAGGCAAAATAAATAATAAATTTATTACTTCTCAGTCAAAAGGAATGCGACGAATTATTGTATACGATTTGGTCGCTCGTTATGGTCCGCAATCAGCTGCCAGCGCAAGTCGAGAATTTTTTGTCCCAAAACTACAATATTTTCTCAATTTCTAAGTTATTTAAGTAAAACAAAATAGGCAAAATAAATAATAAATTTATTACTTCTCAATCATTTCTATCCAGTGATATCATACCGACGAGTTCAAAAGGAATGCGACGAATTATTGTATACTGTTTGGTCGCTCGTTATGGTCCGCAATCAGTTGCCAGTACAAGTGTTTTAACCTCTTGCGCTGGAATGACGTGCCACGCAAGTCGAGAATTTTTTATCCCCCAAAGTTGCAATATTTTCTCAGTTCTAAGCATATTTAAGTATAACCCAGGCAAAACAAATAATAAATTTGCTACTTCTCAATAATTTCTATCCAGTGATATCACACCGACGAGTTCAAAAGAAAAAGAAAACGACGAGTTTATTGTATACGGTTTGGTCACTCGTTATGGTCCGCAATCAGTTGCCAGCGCAAGTGTTTGAAGAAGTCGAGAATTTTTTGTTCCAAAACTGCAATATTTTCTCAGTTTTAAGTTATTTAAGTAGAACAAAATAGACAAAATAAATAATAAATGTATTACTTCTCAATAATTTCCATGTCATACCGACGAATTCAAAAAGAGAGAGGGACGAATTATTGTGTACGGTTTGGTCACTCGTTATGGTCCGCAAACCAGTTGCCAGCGCAAACAAGTTGCCCCAAAATTTGCTTCTCATCGGTCGATCTGCGCTGGAGCACCTTATCACGCGTACGTTTCAACGTATACGGCTCGTGACTCACCCTTCGAAGGGTGGATTCGTGTTCTTTCACGTCTGAAGATTGAAAGCGTTTCATCGTTCTGTCGGTTAGACGTTATCGATAGACTTTCTTTGCGGATTTTCATCGCATTTCTAGGAAACTTTTTCAAACGCAAAATTGAACGTAATCCCGATGATCTGAGAAAGCGACACGATATTCGTATGTAAAACAATTTTTTACCTGAGTTCCATTTTTTTTTTTATAATATCCCCGAAAATATGAACTTGCTTAAGAATCAATAGCCTATTGATAATACGAGCGAACGTATGTATGTATCTATATTTCGTGACATCTACGTACACACATCTGCTTCCTTCACTGTATATTCGCAAAATTATTCTATAGTGTTTCTTCAAGTGTTCGATCTAAATAACCTGTGTGTTTCGCTAATGCAGTCATCGTCAACAAAGAAAGACAAATTTCGCAATAAGATGAAAATTTATCTTACATTTTACATATTTCTTTAATCTCGCGCTTCACTAGACCATGATCTACGATCTTAACGATTTGATCCAGCAAATAGAAAGCTTGGTACCTAGGTTAACGTGTGAAAAGTCGGTGACGATGATTACAAAGGAACTCGGAATTGGCTTTCCTCGTCTCTTGCATGTAACGAGGACTTCTCTCTGACTCGAAACCGAAGGATTTACTATGCACATGGACGCCATTTAAGATTCGATCGACGAGCTTACAAAAGCATCCTCCGTTAATAGACGGCTGGTCACGGTGAACTTTTTGATGTATGTAAATGAATGAATAATGGCCAGTTGAATATGTAGATGGTTGGGTGACAGATCGAACTTGCTCGCATCGACTTTCATGATTTATGACCGGGCTGTTATCCAGAGGCTTTGTCTTACGTAATTTCTTCGCCGCCGCTAATCATCGGATCTTACGTAAATTTTTTGCGCTTGTCTGACAATCAATTCCAATTAACCGTCCCTAGAAGAAAGAAGACGCGTACAGAGAGTTCTAGTGTGAGAAACGTAGAGAAAGATTGACCTACATTTCCATTATTTATGTTTAAAATATTGTATCGTAGGAGAGAGGAATTTTTAATAGCGAAAGAGAGAAATTGATAAGTACGTTTAAAAGTAATTTGCAAAACGTCGGGAAATATCGATTATCGTAGAGGAATATCGGATGAGATAAGATCTGCCTGTGTGTTGGATCGTAGAGCAATGGCTTCTGGTAATTATATCAAAGTGAAGCTGAAGAAAATTTAGCGCATCTTAACAAAGTTCGAAACATTTTTATATCTTTAGAGATGTTTAGATCCTCGAATCTTTTGACATTGGAGTGTCAAGTTTAATGAATTTTCAAATTTAAAGTTTAAATTCCAAACCTGCTATGTCCGAATCTTTTCTCAAGATTTTTAATAGTGAAGCGTCCAAGCGAAGAGCTTCCATATTCGTTTTATTGTCAGATATTCGAAATCTTCGAACTTTTTTAATATCCAAATTTCTCATTAACCTTCAGTTTTCTAGTTCTCAGATTTTTCTAATTTCCAACGTCTCGAAGTCCCTGAATTTTTCGAGAGATGGTTTATTCACCGGCCAAACGTGACGTTATCGCGTGACAAAAATTGCGAACAATTATGCGGAGCAACGAAGTGGCAGCTTTCTGAAATATAAGTATAAATACGTTGCGTCTCGCATTTCGACGAGTTCAGTCGCGGCTCTGGCAGTGAGACTGGAAAAACGCGAAGAAAAGCGTAGCCTCCCTTGGAAAGGGAGCTTTCCAGCTCAAATTTCGAAAAGCAACATAATATCGCGGTCACAGGTACATACACGTGTTCCGTTATACGTGTGCGTGTTAATACACTGCGTATATGCGAACACGCGCGGCCAGTGTGCCACTTTTAAAGCGAATAGACACGATGAGTATTGCACGAGCTCCTATATAATCCGCAATATTCACCGTGTACTATCTCCGAAACAGTGACCATTCACTCGCGCATCGTGCATACTTTCGTGCCTGCGGATTGTT